CGTCATGTTATTTTTATATAGACTACCTTTCCATTTCAAAACCTTGAGTCTCCTGCTGTGTGACCTACTCCATCACATATATATCACTGGAGTATGTCATCAATCCCGTCAACCGAGTCTCCCATAGCACCTACCATCCAGTCATTCTCCTTAGGATCCACATTATCTCCTTCTCCTGGTTTAACAGCTCCTCACCCTCTCTGTTGTGCCTCTCTCTTCTTCACAAGGTTCCTCTACGACTGAAGGTATGCCCTCGGAAACACAACCACCATATTTATCCTCTCCTAGGACCAATGACACTGAAGTCCCCCAGCCTACCCTAACTCGTGTTAGTGCCTCTCCACCGCCTGTACCTACAACACACCCTGTAACCCCTGGACATCCTATGACAATGCGCTCCAAAAGTGGTGTCTTTAAACCATGACTAGTCCTTAACCTACATACCATCACAACATCCTCGTCAGAGATCACTGAACCTACCACAATTACTCAAGCCCAAAAATCTCCATACTGGCGTAAATCAATGTGTGAAGAATATGATGCCCTCCTCCATAATTCTACATGGACCCTTATACCCTCTCATCCCACATAAAACATCATCGGGTATAAGTGAGTCTTTCAAATTAAGCGAAACTTAGATAGATCTGTTGCCAGATATAAAGCGCGTCTAGTGGCCAAATGGTTTCATCAACATCCTGGTATTGACTTCACAGAGACATTTAGTCATGTTGTTAAACCCACAACAATTCGACTTATTCTGAGTTTGGCCATCTCATAAGGCTGGCATTTATGACAACTCGATGTTAACAATGCCTTTTACAAGGGACCCTAACTGACGATGTCTTCATGCAGTAACTCCTAGCTTCATCTACCCTCAATATCCAAAGCATGTTTGTAAACTACAAAAAGCTATTTATGATCTTCGTCAAGCTCTAAAAGCTTGGTACATCGAACTTGGCTCATTTTTGTCATCAATTGGCTTCATCAACTCCAAGTCTGATACCTCCCTATTTTCTCGTCACCAAAGTGTTAATATAATATATATTCTAGTATATGTGGATGATATTATTGTCACAGACAATAATCCTTTGAAAATCAAGGCATTCCTCAAGCATTTAGCAGATCGATTCTCCCTTAAAGATCTAGGAACCTTGAGCTATTTTTTGGGTGTAGAAGCAACATACACATCTTCAAGACTCTTCCTATCACAACAAAAGTATATTCAAGATCTATTATCTAAAACAAACATGTAAGATATAAAAGTAATTACAATACCTTTGTCTACTAGAGAGTCACTCAAACTATGTGATGGAAGCCCTACTATAGACCCAACTTAATACCGATAAGTCCTTGGCTCCTTACAATACTTATCTCTTACCAGTCGAGATATCTTATTTGTGGTCAATAAATTATCTCAATTCATACATTGACTATCTACTATGCATTGGTCTGTAATCAAACGAATTTTCTGATATCTTTACAGGACTCTTTTTCAGCAAACACTCTCCCCTTCATCTCCATACTTTTGTTGATGCTGATTAGGTAGAGAATTTTGATGACAGAGAACATCCACGTTGGGGTATATCATCTTCCTTGGACCTAATCCAATTAGTTGGAGTTTTAAGAAGCAAAAGACAATTGCACGTTCTACAACTGAAGCTGAATACTATGTCATAGTAACCATTGTTGCAGAACTCAATTGGGTTACGAATCTACTCAAGAAACTTGACATCAACCTTACCTCTACTCCTACAATATACTGTAATAATGTCGGAGCCACTTACCTATGCGTCAATCCAGTATTCCACTCACGCATGAAATACATAGTCATCGACTTTCACTTCGTATGAGAACAAGTTGTCAGATATCAACTACGTGTTTCTCACATATATACGACTGATCAACTAGTGGATCTCCTTTGATAATAGCCTTAACAACAGCTAATATCTCCTTAATTACATGAGAAAATATCGTAAATCTATTAAGAAAAATCCTCATTGAGAAAATTTTTTCCTTCTAACATGTATAAATAAGGAGTATTATTTCAAACTCAAGAACGACTTCCTTGAATTTTATTTCTAACATGGGGCAGGAGTCATCTATGTGATGACACATGATTCAATTGGTCTTGGGGAAGATGGCCCTACCCATCAGCCAATTGAGAATTTGATAAGCTTCCGAGCCATGCCCAACATTCTGATGCTCAGGCATGCTGATGGGAACGAGACTGCTGGGGCCTACAAGGTTGCGGTGCTCAACAGGAAGAGACCGTCAGTCCTTGCTCTCTCACGACAGAAGCTTCCTCAACTTCCAGGAACATCAATTGAAGATGTTGAGAAGGGAAGATTTACCATTTCTGATAATTCTACTGGTAACAAACTAGATGTGATTTTGATCGGCACTGGTTCAGAATTGGAGATTGCAGCGAAGGCCGCAGATGAGCTAAGGAAGGAGGGGAAAACAGTACGTGTGGTATCTCTTGTTTTCTGGGAGTTGTTTGATGAGCAACCAGACGAATACAAGGAGAGTGTCTTCCCCGCTGCTGTCACTGCAAGGATTAGTATCGAAGCAGGGGTCACGCTTGGATGGGAGAAGTATGTCGGAAGCAAAGGCAAGGCGATCGGGATTGACCGGTTTGGAGCAAGTGCTCGTGCTGGGAGAATATACAAGGAGTTTGGCATAACAGCAGAGAGTATTGTTGCAGCAGCCAAATCTCTGTGAGGTAAGCTCTGTCAGTGATCACAAGGAGAATTTAGATTTCAGTGTCAGTTGGAGAATTCTCTAGGGCAAAGGAACCTTGCTTAGTAGATTGAAACCTTGCCTTCAACCTAAAATAAAATTTTCATATGTCCTTGAGCTTTTCCTTTCTCATAGTTGATGGAGTTTTCTTCTTTAATGAATGACTGCATTTAGTTGTGGGACAAACCGTAATATGTATTAATTATTTGAATGTCGAATACTGTTTCGGGAATTTGTTTGGATTAACTAGTCCGTTTTACTCCCATCTTCCGGATTCTTTTGAGGTCATGCAGTCGGGTTCCCACAACATTCACGAGGCATCTTTTTGTTCAAAGGAAAACCTCGAGTGTAGGGTTGAAATCGCATCCTTTGTTTAGAGATTCCTTGGTTGATCTGTTATATGTTGTTGCATGCAAGATATATCTGCTGAACAATTTCTGTAGACTGAGGACATGATGTTAAACGGTTGAGGATTCTTGCTTGTGGATCAAGTTATCAAACCTAAGTGATATCGTTGATAAGTTAACATAGTTCTTATGGAAATAGAAGTTAATGGTGGAGGTGATCTTGTGTGTCGACGAGCTACATTTATATTTCTCTCTTTGAATTTAAGTTTAGCATATGTATTGTTATTTAAAATATAAAAACTTGCATATATCATTGTTAGCTGAAGTTTAGTTAATATAATAGAATGTCTAGTCTGGGATTTTGCTATGCTAAGTTTCCAGACCCGTAAGGTCCTTTATCAAGATATAATAGAACACATCTAGTTGGAGATTTGCTATGCTACATTAAAACATTTGTCTGAATCCTCCATAAAGCATTTTATGGAAGTGCTATTGCAAGCATGCACAATTATGTCGGCATAAGCACATCCTTGGATAGTCTTTTTGTAAATCCCTTATTTTTTCTGAGGACCTTAAATTGCAAAACACGGCAACGGCGGCGTTGGTTGATTAGTTGGTTAAACACCCCATAGCTTCCCACCGCCTCTCGGTCTCTCTCTCTCTCTCTCTCTCGATGGGGTAAAACAGAGGCTGCGGTGGCATGGGAGCGTGTGGGACAGAGAGAGAGAGAGAGAAACAGAGAAGGGATCGGAGAAGAGTGAAAGGGAGGATGGAAGGAATAGAAAGAGAAAGGGAGAAAGGAGAGAGAGAAGAGGAAGAGAAAGAGAGAAGACAGGGAGGCATCGGTGAGAACAGAGTCGGGGAAGAAAGAAGAAGAAAAAAAAGGGGAGAAGAAATAGAAAAGGGGAGAAGAAGAAGAATAGAAGGAGAGGAAGATGAGAGAAAAAAAAGCAATCCAGGATGGGGTGTGAGATAGAAGAAACAGAGGATGAGAAGGGAAATAAAAAAAAAGAAAGGGATTCGTGCAAGCAGGAGAGAAAGAACAGTGAGAGAATTGAAAGAAAGGAGAAAACAAAAAAGAAGAAAAATAAGAGGAATTATCGAGTTTCTGTTTTGATACCAAATGGATTCGATAAGTCTAACAAAACTATATTAGGTATGATTTTAAATTCTCTTGTAATCTCATTAATTAGATTTGTGTTATGAATTATAGATGGATGAATCATGACTTTTTTAGATAATTAAATAATATGCTATTCATACTACCACGAATTATGTTCAAACATATATAATTATACAATATTTACATTTACAAACCCTTAGTTATATTTATGCTCATTTATGAAAAGTTAATGATAGTACTACAATGATTTATGCTCATTAGCTATATTTATATTTTTATTATGAAATATATTTAATTATATTTTCTATTTTAAAAATATTGTTAGCTCCGTTATGAATTGAAATACATGAAAAGTATATATTAAATGAATAAAAAAATATTTATTTTAATAAAATATTTATTTATGATAAATTTTGATTAACACTGAACTTAATGATAAATTTATGATGATTTATACTCATCATCATACGCACGAGCAACGAAACAGATATCCTTTTATTCCTCGAGACATCTTAACACTGAACTTACTGCTACAGCAACATATAACTCGGCTCCATTATTACTTCATGTCTCGAATGCTCAGGCCAGAGCTTATAACTTGGACTCTAGGAGGTGTCAGAAAAGGAATCTACGATGATCACCCGAACCGCGATCGGAATCCTGACGGTATGCTTCCCACCATCATCCACCCAAGTCAAGCTTCCGAAAGTGAAGCCACCTTGCACCTTGTGAAGCGACCTGAAGGTCACCTTAAAGGGAAGCTTCTGCGT